GCATTGTTAACTTGTTCTCCGATATATCCAGGTTGATCTTTGGAGTTTATAGGACCAGTTATTGGCGTGTTATCTAATCTTCGATTTCCAGCTGCTGACGTATGGTTAGCCCCACCAATTGTATTATTTTTACATCCCGGACACCTTATCGCTTCCATTGCCTGGCCACAGTTAGCAATTACATACATATATCCACATTGACACGAATATCTGGAAAATAAAAATTTAGTAAAAATTTATAAAATTAACAATAATAATAATGCTAACACCTTACCGAGTAATTTGTCCACCACCTCCAGCAATTACAGCGCTTAAAATTAATGATTCGATATCAGAAACGGTTGCCAAAATAAACGTATTTTGACATGCATCTATCTGATGGAAATATGCCGCAAGTGGTGTGGAATCTGGTGGAATTGAAGCATGTAATGCTATAATATGAGCTATAACTGATTTTAAGAACAAATTACTATTATCTATAGTATGATCTAAGCGAAGTAGAGATTGATTGTTTGAAAGTATTCTTCCTATAGTTTGCTTATATCCAGCTGATAAATTGTTCATTGTACCAACGACCTTCAAAAAGTCTGCAGATTGATGTTCTGGCGCACCCCATTCACGAGATGCCCTAACCACATGTAGGCGAGATATAATAAGTCCAATTAATGCAATTCTTGCACGGAATGCATTAATATTTTGCAATTGTTGCATAAAAGCCTGAAAAGGAGCCTTGTTACCAATGCTGTACAATTCTTTAAATGCGTTCTCTGCCTGGCGGTATTCCGGTAGTTGCCAATATGGATTAAATGGAAGACGAGATTCTTTATTATCATTCCATTTGAAAGTGGATAACCAAGGAAATTTATTTTTGTGTGCTGTACAGAATCGTTTTACGTCATCAATTGAAAGACCTTTATGACGTAGTTCACGAAGAAAATAGACCTTGAGTGAATCAATTAAGGGATTATCTACAATCAAAATATTATTGATTTCTTCAATAAGCACTTCGCCATCAAATTCACCAACATCCATTATGCCAATAAATGAAATTGGCAGTGTATAGT